CAGAGGCAGGTATATCTTTGTTTACTCCTAGCATTTGTGAAGCAGAGACAGGTATATCTTTGTTTTTCAAGGCCACCCTGGTCTACAGAGTGAGTGCCAGGACAGCCAAGGCTACATAGTGAGACCCTGTCTACAAGAGGAAAAAAGAAAGTATTTTGTCTGTATAGTGGTACATGTCTGTGGTCCCAGCTACTCAGAAGTATAAGGCAGGAGGCTCTTGAGCACAGGAGTTTAGAGCTAGCCTAGACAACACAGAATATCCTACACAACCAGTACTATTTCAGGAACTAATCCATTAACCAATTTCTTTGTTTTGGTATTTAATTTGGCTGTCCTTGTTGAAATTCCGGTCATTTAATGTTTTATTAATAGGCTAGAGGATATTTTATAAGGAAATCTTTAATTCCTTTTTCCCCCTCAGGAAACGATTATATATGGAAGTATTTGAATATACCCGCCCTATGATGCACCCTGAACCTGGTAAATTCTATCAGATAAATCCAGAAGAATATGAACATCCAAATCCATGGAAAGAGAGTTTCCAGCAGTTGGTATGAAATACAGAAAATACAGATTTATGTTATGTATTTGTAAATACATTTCTTTATTTAGAAAAAAAAAAAAATATATATATATATATACACACACTATATATCCAGAGAGATGGCTCAGTGGTTAAGAGTATGCACTACTCCTAAAGGACCTGAGTTTGGATCCCAGCACCGACATAGGCAGCTCAGAGCTTCCTGTAATTCTAGCTCCGGGGGACCCAGTGCCCTTTCTCTTCTGGCCTACTTGGCCAATTGCACTCATTTATGTATGCCCACACACAACTATACATAATTTAAAGCTTTTAGTTAAATAAATGCATGTATCCAAGAATTATAAACTGGACACGGTGCCTACACCTGTAATCCCAGCACTCAGGACTTAGTCAGGAAGGTGACAAGCAGAAGGCCAGCCTCTGTCACTTGTAAGGCTGTCTCAAAGGAAAGAAAATGTTAGTTTCAGGAAGCATCAGTACCTTGGATAGTTATAATTCCAATGGATCTGTTTAAATTTGTACGTTGTGTTTAAAAAGTTCACATACAGTTTACTTCTCTCTTTTTTAAGTGAGAGCTCACTGTGTAGTCCTGGCTGTCCTAGAACTCTCAAAAATCTACCTGTCTCTACCTCCACTTGTGCTGGGATTAAAGACATAATACCAGCTGGGCATGTGTACCAGAGGCAGGTGGATCTCTGTGAGTTCAAGGCCAGTCTGGTCTACAAAGTGAGTCCAGAACAGCCAAGGCTACACAGAGAAACTCTGTCTCATAAAACCAAACAAACAAACAAAACATACACCATGTCCTTTGTAGTTTAATATTCTTACAGTCTGTCAATTTTGAGTAGTTCTCAGCAAAGGGTGATTCTCGAATGTGAGGGAATATTTAGCAGTCTTGAGACACTTTGTTTGTCAAAGCAGAAGAGGGCACTTACCTTTAGTTTCAGGTTTGGCAGAGGCCACAGATTTAACTGAACACCCTCCACTTCGTGGGACAGCTTACATGTCAAAGAATTATACAGCCCAAAGTAATAGCAGTGGTAAAATTGAAAATCCGCTTGTCTTACTAGGTAGTAATGAATAGATTTTTTTTCATTGTACTGTACAACTAAAAATTAGTTGGGATAGTTGTGAATTGTTTTATATTTATTGTTATACTGTGGAACACTGATTTAAAATGCAATGTTTTTATGGCAGTAGACAATTGTTTTGTCTTGTTTTTGACATCTTAGTATAAAGGTGCACATGTGAAGCCGGGATTTGCTGAGCATTTCTATAGTAACCCTGCAAGATACAAGGGAAGAGAAAATATGTTGGTATGTTGGGTTTTATTTTTTAATTTGCATATGGGGTTTTGTTACAGAATTTTCAAATACAATGTGTTTTTGTTGACCCTCTTTTCCCTTTTCTTTGCTTGTGACATTTGTTCTGTACTGCTGTGGACAGGCCTAGTCTTGTCATTTGTATTTTATGACTTTAGATAGTAACCTTTCTGTCTGTATGATAGTAACGTTTGTACTGACACTTTTTTTTTTCTAGTATTATGATACTATTGAAGATGCCCTCGGTGGAGTACAGGAAGCACATTTTGATGGGCTTATCTTTGTTCATTCTGGAATATATACTGATGAATGGATATATATTGAATCTCCAATCACTATGATTGGTGCAGGTATTTTGAAACTCATTGTTAGAATTTTAGCATTTTATTTGTATTATTTTATTTACATATTGGGGCTCTTTTTAGTGCTAGTGGCTTAAAATCCAATTGGACTTTGCTAATACCTTAATGGTAGGAAAGCATAGTAGTGGGGATACTTTGAATACTTCTCTTCGTGAAGAAAAAAAAGCAGAAAAGGTTGAAGTTACAGATGTGTTTGATTTTTGATGTCACTGGTTTGTTTCTCCAGTTGCCGTCAGTTACTCATTTACGGAAAAAAAATAGTTACATTATTGTTCCTTTGAACAAGCAAGCTAGGTTCTTTATGTTTTTTGTGTCGCTTGTGCTTACATCTAGGACCTTGAATATACTTGCTCTACAAGTTTTCTACCATTGGGCTGCTCCCTTCCTAGCACTAATGCTTATGTATGTGTTTTAATGCTGTGGTGTTTTGTTTTTGTTTTTTAGATTTCTTTATTTCATGTGTTCCTGTGTGTTTGCATGTATGTGCACCATGTGCATGCCTAGTGCCTGCAGAGGGCAGAAAAGGGTGTAAGATCCTCTGAAACTGGAGTTAGAAATGGTTGTGAGCCACCATGGTAGTGCTGGGACCTGGACCCAGGTCCTCTGCGAAAGCTCGTAACCATTGAGTCATCTCTATCTCTAGCCCCTATTGCTGTGTTTTTAAAGAAATAAATGATAACTTTTAAATGCGTTTTGTACTAGTCAACTTTCTTACAGTAAGTGTAATGAGATATTTATTAAATACTGATGAGTTATTTCAGGATTTGGCTCCATCTTGGTTTTTTTTTTTTTGTTTGTTTTGTTTTGTTTGTTGAGAATACAGTTAATAGACCACTTTAAGGGTAGTAGTAATACTATTTACTAATGGAATTTACATATGCTGCCCCTCTGCCTTCCCCCCCCCCCCATCTCCATCATAAAAAGGACAGGGGTTGAGAGTGTAGTTTTTGTCTAGCATGTGTGAGGACCTGTTTAAGCTCTAGCATCACCACCCCTAAAAAAGAGGGAAAAAAAGTTTCCTTCTTTTAATTTTAAACTTGTAACTTAAAAATGGAGGACCACTCCCTGGCTGCTTTTTCTGCCACCGTTGCTGCTGCAGCTGCTAGTGACTGTTTATTTCTTAATATGTTACTGCATTTGATATTAATACTGTTTATTTATAGTTGAATCTTACTAAGTATTACTGTACATGAGTTTGGGTATGGTGTTAATCAAGTAATATCCCCAATAGATGTGTTTATTTGTCATAAATACTGAGGAAACATAGTTAACTAAAAAGTTAGTCCTGCTGCTTAATATTGATGTTTTTAAATTTATTCATATGTGTGTTTATGTATGGGCATGTGTGTGTGGAGTCCAGAAGAGAGGGCCGGTTCCCTGGAGCTGGAGTCAGAGGCAGTTGTGAGCCACCTGGTGTGGGAGCTGGGAATTGAACTTAGGTCTCTGGAAGAGCAGGAAGTACTCTTAACCACCAAGCTGTTTCTCCAGTCCAACAATAACTAATGTTTTTTAGAAGTCCCCTCTCACCTGGGCATGGTGATACGGGCTTGTTACTCTGGAAGTTGGGAGGAAGAATTGGGAGGATCTCAAGTTTAAGGCCATCCTGAGCCAAATACTGATGGCCAGCCTTTTGCAGGATGTTTGGGATTGGGGTGGGTGGATGGACCCTTTCTGTACAGATACCTCACTGATTGACTAGAATAAAGGCTGTGTGCTTAAAATGTCTCCTTCACAGCACCTGGGAAAGTTGCAGACAAAGTTATCATTGAAAACACTAGAGATTCAACTTTCGTCTTTATGGAGGGTTCTGAAGATGCGTATGTTGGATATATGACAATAAGAGTAAGATTTTTGTTTTGAAATACTTTTTGAGTTGTGTGATTCAGTAGCTGTTACCTCAAATAAAATTTCTACTTTTTAGTTCAACCCTGATGACAAATCTGCTCAGCATCACAATGCACACCACTGCTTAGAGATCACAGTGAACTGCAGCCCTATTATTGATCACTGCATCATCCGCAGTACATGCACAGGTTCGTACTTCATGTTTTGTATGAACTGGAGCCATTGTTATTCCTCAATAGGTTTTTTAAATGAATAAATAATTTTTCTTATAGTCGGTTCTGCGGTATGTGTTAGTGGTCAAGGAGCATGTCCTACCATCAAGCATTGTAACATCAGCGACTGTGAAAATGTTGGACTTTATATAACAGATCATGCACAGGTATTTGTTTAATTTGAACCGTTAGGTTTTTTATTAATTTTCTTTATTTTTTTTTTAAACTGCACTAATGTTTGCTTCTCGTTGTTGTAGGGAATATATGAAGATAATGAAATTTCTAATAATGCATTAGCTGGGATTTGGGTTAAAAATCATGGAAATCCAATTATTAGACGGAATCACATTCATCATGGACGTGATGTTGGTGTGTTCACATTCGATCATGGCATGGTAAGATTCATTCTTAAGATAAAAGCTGGTGCTGCCAATTAACATTTCCTATCAGAGTATCAGAATTGAAGAGTATCATTATAGTCATTCTGTAAATTCACATGCCCAAAGCACCATACCCAGAAAAAATATATTTATGGTAGAATTCACTGAAAATCAATGTGGTCTTTGAAGTCTAATCTAGCAGTTAGTTCTCAAATCTGAATGTATGTAAAAATCATATGGAAACCTATAGGCTTTTTTTGTTGAGAAAGAGGTGTGTGTCTGTGTCTGTAAATTTTTCTTTCCACATAAGATACAATAAGGATTTCTAAAAGCGAGGCCAAAAAAAAGCATTTTTAGTCAGCAGCATAGTGAATGTAGTACAGTTTATCTGTAGTGTTTGTACTTTGGAAATAGTAGTCTCAGTTGTTTAGGGTTGTTTTGTTTGTTTGGGGGTTGTTTGTTTGGTAGGGAGCAGTGTTGAGAGGTCACAGCTATGACCTGGGAAGCAGTGGGCAAGTGTTTTACACAGGCTCTCATTGTTAATTTGGTTTGCATTTTAATTCTCCCAAAGAAAAAAATAATGTATGACCATATGCCAGTATTCTATAATTCTAACCTTGCAAGGATCTGAAGTCAGGTCAACCTTGGATACATTAGAACAGAGCGAGGAAAAAGCAACCACCAAACTTTGTCTTCTAACTTGCATAAATTCAAAGCTAATATAATATAAGTAGGATATCAGTTTTAAAACAGGCGGAAATTACTGAGGATGTAAATTTCACTGTCTTTACTCTACATAATTTTCTAGGCTTGACTTAACAGAGTTCTTTAAGGTCATTATTCCAAAATAGTGTTAATAGCAGATAGATGTAATGTCACATTCTGTAAAACACACTGGAGGCAAGAGGATACCCACAAGTCTGAGAGCAGTCTGCTCCGTAGAGCAAGTTCCAAGCATGCCAAGGCTGCACAGTAAGATAACAACAATAGTGAAAATAGTATTCGTGGTTTTGATTTAGTGTCTGGTTTCCCTTGAGTTAATTTCAGGTTTTCATGCAGCATTGCCAACATTTTATATTGTAGACAGCAGAAAAATGGAGAGAAAAGATGGTGAGACTTGTCTGCTGTTGTATATTAATGAAACTACGTGAAAACAGCAGACTAATATATACATATTGTCCATGGCAAAGAAAGGGTTTTTTTCCTTATACCTGAAACAGATCCCAGATGAATTAAACCATGATGAGTACCATTTTTCAGATGCTGATTAGACCTAAAGAATTTAGCTCAGAAGCTGAATTCTTACTTTATTAGCCAGTGTCGCCACTATAATCTGAGAAAACCAGTCCACCCAAAAATCAGCCTGTGGCTGCTGTCAGTCTATAAGAAAGTAAAACAGAAGTGAAGTGTACTGGTGTACACCCATAATGTCAGCACTCAGGAAGAAGAAATAGCAGAATCACAAATTAAAGGCCAGCCTGAGCTGCATAGCAACTCAGTGACTGCAGATGAGGGTAGGGAGGGAGAGAGATGTCTTATCGAATAATAGAGCTCTTTCACTGATAGATGAGAGAGGGGGTTTGGGTAATTATACCAAGGGTGTTGAAACAAAACTGTTCAGAAGTTGCTCTCTGTTGGAGATACTTAGTGGTAGTAAGTTCTAAATAGAGCCCCTTCATTTTGAAATGAAACTGCATGCTGGTAGTTCTGCCTGTGTTTTCGTTAGGCTGTGTCCAGAAGTTACATACAATTCAAGGATCATTTTTATCAATACTTCTGTCTCATTCACAAATGATTACGGGTACAAAGGTAATTTTAGCCTGAGTACAAACTCCTCATTTATGAAGTATCTATGGTGATGGTTAGTTACTAAAGTTCACTTTAGTAATTTAATCCTTAACTTACACCCCTTGGGCAGGTTTCTGGGATGTTTGTTTACATATTTGAGTTTACAAGTATTGTAGCAGCATTTTAAAAATACAACTCTACACAATGTTATGGATTAATAGCTCCATTAAGAGTTAATAGGGTTTCTAAAGAGTTAAAATTTGTGAGGAAAAGAAGTATGTCTCTGGCCTATCATGGAGTTGTTTTGGCGTTGTGACGGTCTTTGAGAACCCTGTAGAGTGTGCCCCTCCACGCCAGTATCACTTTGGCTCGTGTTGCCAGTTCATATATAGTCGTGCCCTTCATTCAGGATAATCTTTCTAAAATTTGCCCTTTTTTCTATAGAACTTCAAAGAATGCCAAAGTAAACATTTAAACTATCGACTTGTATATCATTTATCTTTAAGTATATTCATATTTATTGTTCAGTTTTTCAAGTTATTTTTGTGTGGAGGGGTTATATTCCTAGAATAAGTTCTAATATTCCTAAAAGGAATCACAAAAGACTTAAGTTAAGGGCTGGGGAGAGGGCTGATGATACCAGAAGTTCATTGGCCAGCTAATGTAGCCAAATTGTGAGCTCCAGGTCTCAAAAAAGAAAGTAGGAGAGGGCGAGAAGGATAGTTCAGAGGTTAGGAGTATACACTGCTCTCACGGTTAGGTTTCCCACACTTCTCTAGTTCCTCACAGTTACCTGTGACTCCAGTTCAGACAGATCCAAGGTGCACCAAGAGCACCTGGACTCAAGTGTGCATGCCCAGCAGTGACACAGAAATTTTTAATTTCTAAAAATCTAAAACAAAACAGGTGAGCCAAATTGAGAAAGCGCTTGTACTAACCTGAGCTTGCACAGTTGTGCACAAATTTGTGCCTGCTTCCTCATGCCCATACATGTGCTTAGTTAACATGACACAAACACCCAAATGAGTTTTTACTTTTGGACTTTTTTTAAGATTTATTTATTTAATTTATTTTTATGTAAATGAGTACCCTATCTACATGTATGCCTACGCATACACGCCTGAAGAGGGTGTCAGATCCCATTATAGATGGTTGTGAGCTACCATGTGGTTGCCCGTAATTGAACCCAGGGCCTCTGGAAGAGCAGACAGTGCTCTTAACCACTGAGCCATCTCTCTAGCCCATGGATTTTTTTTTTTTTTTAATGTGTTTTATTTTCTTTTAAACTTTGGTTTAAACTTTGGTTTAAAAGAAAATGGAAGAAAAAGAAAAGTTGCTACAACTTCAGAGTTTGTATGTTTGAGCACCCTATTTGAAAAAAAAAAAAAAAAAAAAGGTGAGAAAATAGCTAAATGTAGTGAAGCACACCTTCAGTCCCAGCAGGCAGAGGCAATTAGATCTCTGTAAGTTCGAGGCCAGCCTGGTCTACAAAGTGAGTTCAAGATAGCCAAGGATACAGAGCAACCCTGTCTCAAAAAATCCAAAAGGGGTGGTGAGGGGGAATAAATGTACTTTTCAGCCAGCTTCATCTCATCACTAGTAAGTCTTTGGGGGAATTTTGTTTGTTTGTTATTCTGAGACAGGGTCTCACTGTAGAGCCCCTGCTGGCTGAGAAGTTACCCTGCAGACTGTGCTGGCCCATAAACTCACAGAGCTCCGCCTGCTTCTGCACCCTCAGCACTGGGTTTAAAGGTGTACACCAACGTACCCAACCTTTTTATATTTTTAGTGTGTAGAAGTTTTTTTCCTGTGTGTATGTATGTGCATCACGTATGTGCAGTGCCCACATAGGCCAGAAGAGAGCACCATCCTCTGGAACTGGACTTCCAGATGGTCATGACCCACCATATGAGTGCTGGGAACTGAAGAGTTGTTGCTCGTAATGGATGAGCATTTTCTCAAGCCCTGTACATTCTTTTGTATTTGGAAACATTTGTGCTCTTACAGCTGCAGATCTGTATTGACTTTTTATTTATTTATTGTATTCTCCCTATAGCCCCTGACCTCTATTCCTTAATTTTATGTGGGTTCTGGACATGTGTCTAGGCTTTATCAGCTAGCCTTCTCCCCCCAACCCTCCTTTCCCCTACATTTTTAGAAGAACTTACAGGTTGAATTTTTGCCACTTGAAAATGACAACCGATTATCTTTTTAACTTAGCTGAGTGTGCAGTTAGGTTATCTATCTATCTCTTAATTTGATGATATTTTTTCGTTTTAGCATCAAGTGTGTCTGATAACTTTTGCTTTCTTTACTTTCTGGTGTTGGTTTGCTTTTGTTCATATCCGTATGTTGGTTTTATTGTTGATGTTTTCCAGTTTTTTGTTTGTTTGTTTTATATGTTTTCTTTAGAAACTTGGTTCTTCCTATTATTGATATTACTGTATTCCTTTCCTTTAAGTGTTGTGTGACTTTCTGAAATGTGTTTTCACTGCATTCCATTGTTTCGTATGATTCTGCTACTTTATTTTGTTTTAATTTTGAACTTCTTAAAAATTAAATGGAATAGTTCTACCATACACAGAGGTACCGAGAATAATGTAGTGAGTCCTCACGTGCCCATAAATAACAACCAGTTTTGGTTCTCACTGCTTCCGTGTTTATGTTGTCTCCTTTCCTTGTATTCTGGATTATTTTGAAACAAAATTCAGAATTACTGGGATGGGTAAACTCCAGACAGCATTATTCTGTAAGTATTTTAGCATTTATCTTTCAAAAGCTGTGATTCTGGGGCCAAGATTATGGCTTGGTGGTAGGACACATGAAGCCCTGGGTCTTTCGCCAGCATCAAAAAGCGGGAAGGGAGGCCTTTTGTGCCTTTCACAGAACCACAGTGTCACTGCTACTCTTAAGATGCTATGAGGACTAGAGGATGATTCGTCACCCCTCCCCCCTTTTTTGACAGAGCAAGTGGCCCATCTTAGGCAGTCTCAATCCTGAGGAAAAAGATACAAGAGAATATGGGGGGGAGGGGTTGACCGTCCAGATTAGAACGTGTCCCAGTGAGAGACCCTATCTTAAAAAAACAAAAAAACAGGTTTCTTAGGATACTTGTATTTACATACAAACACACACACCAATTTAAGAAAACAGAATAAAGCCGGGTTATGGTGATGCACAACTTTAATTCCAGCCCTCAGGAGGCAGAGGCAGGTGGATCTCTGTGAGTTCGAGGCTAGCCTGCTCTACAGAGCGAGTCTAAGACAGAAAAGGCTGCACGGAGAAATCCTGTCTCAAAAGAAAAAAGAATAAATAATTCCTTTGTGTTTTCAAATTTATTGTCAGTATTTACAATTTGAGGCTCCCCCTTTGTTTTATATTTAGTGCATTGAAGAATATTTGTGTTGTTTGTTTTTGTTTTTTCCAGACAGCTGCATTGAAAAATGTTAACTTGTTTGTTTCTTATTTTTTGATAGTCTCACTCTCGTAGCTTTAGCTTGATATAGACCAGGCTGGAGTTGAACACACAGAAATCCAAATGATGGGATTACAGTTAAAAGTATGCATAACCATGCTCAATTTGAAGAATGTTAATTTTTGTAAAAGAAATGGTTAAAATAGAGATTTGAAGTTATTAATGGGTTTTTAAGGCATTTATTTCAAGTTTATGAACCTAGCCTACGACAGATTGAATCTGTGTTTCTTGTGTTGAAATCTGGCTCTCCCCTATCTCCTCCTTTCACTTATCATTTTAAAAGAGAGCCTAAAAGTACTTATTTTTGTATGTGTGCACAGTTCATGTGTGTGGACAAGTGTGCTACAGAATGTATATGTGTGTATGAGAGAGAAAGAACAATTTGTTTGAACTCACATGTAGCCAAGGATGGTCTTAGATGCTGATTTTTTTTAATCTTTTATTTATTTATTTTTTTGCTTTTGCTTTTACTTTCCAAGTGTTGAGTCTGCTTGCGTGGTGGGAGGGCTGAAGTGCTGGGTTACAGACTAAGAGCTTCAAACATACTAAATGGCCACACTACAGCTGAGCTATGTTCAAGCCCCAGAAAGTACAGTTTTTAACCAGAAGGGATCACTTCTCAGTTTCCTACTTTAGATATATGCTTTAAGCCTAAATTGTTTATATTAGCTAATACCATAGGGGCTGGGCATGGTGGTGCATATGTTTAATCCCAGCACTCAGAAGGCCAGAATAGACAGTCCGTCTCCAAGGTCAAGGTCAGCATGATTTACAAAACAAATTCCAGGGCAGCCAGCCACATTAAAATGTTTCCAAAAACATGAATAAAACAAGCAAAAGCAACAAACCGCTACTGTCATAAAAAGTATTGCTTACCCTTCCTGTCCTATTTGCCCTTTTATGCTATTTTTTTTTTTTTTATTTAGCCTGTTTTTATATTTGCCTGTTTTATGTTGCTACTAACATAATTATCAACAGGCTAGTATAGAGGAAGCTTATTTTGACTCATGGTTCTGGTCCAGGATGAAGTTACTGTATTTGGTAACAGTCTTCTTGTGAGCAGATATCCAAAATGACCCCAAATATAGTGTGGACAAAAAAGAACATGAATGTTTTTACCCTGGTCTCTTTGCTTCTTATCAAACAGCCTGTACTCAGTCATGGAAGCTCCACTTGTTGGTCCTTTCTGATCCTAATCACTTTCCAGAGACCCGTGCCTCTAAACACAGCTGGCTTAAGGTTCCCAACATTTGGGGGCTTGGTTTGGGGAAGAGGTGTGTTATGATACTTTGTTTGGGTTGAGTTGGGTGCACACATGAGACGAAGCACTGCACCTGTGAACTTTTTCAGCAACTTTTCCCCAACTCTTTTTTCCTTCATTTTTATTTTATGTGTATGGATGTTCAGCCTGCATGTGTGTCTGTGTACCACATGTGTGTGGTCCCCATGGAGCCCAGAAGAGAGGGTGTTAGATCCCCTGTGAGCCATCTTGTGGGTGCTGGGAATCAAACCTGGGTCCTCTGGAAGAGCAGCCAATGTTATAGCTAGCTGCTGCGCCACATCTCCAGCCCCACCTTAAGTCTTAATACTGTCAGTGGGAGTTTCAGAAAGACAAACCATCTTTATAACTTTAATAGAAAGTCTTCTGCTCAGCCTACCAACTTTTATTACTTGAAAACTATACTCCAAGGATATTCTGTGGTAACATTATCTTACTGTCCTCTTTATTCAGAGTAAAAAAACATTTGGCAGATTTTTGTAAATTATAATTTGGGTTATGGACATTGATTTCAATGGAAAATAACCTTTTTGTTGTTGTTGTTGTTCCTTCAATTTTATTTTCTTAAAGGCAGGGTTCTACCGTGTAGCATAGGCTGGCCTAGAACTTAAGACCCCCCTGGCTTCTGAGGTGTGGAATATAAGCATGTATCATCATCATACTTTGGCTTTTAAAATTTATACTAGAGTTCTATCTTAACAAAATAGATGTAGTTCTTTACACTGTATTTTAAAACAAAATGTGGCTAGTTCCTTGGGTTGGGATGAATGAACCTTGGTTTATTTCTAATTTTTTTTCTTTCAGACCAGATATTATATAACCCAGGCTGATTTCAGACATCTAATGTAGCCAAGGCTGGTCTTGAACTCTCCATCCTCCTGTCTCTACCTCTCAAGTACTAGGGGCCATAGGCCACCACATTTAACGATGTTTGTAGGCCTCTTTGATGCAGGCTAGCTGGAGCTGCTGGATCATGTAATCCTCAGGCCATCAGCTTTCAAAGCAGCTAACTGTAGATGCCTAACTGTAGATCATCTTTTAGAAGTTTCTGTATTGGAAGTATTTTTCTTTTTATGCTCTGGGGATCAAACATAATAGGCATTTTATTTTCCCCACCCTCCGACCATTTGTAAATTTTAATTGATGTATATAAGTGTTTTGTTTGTGTGTATGTACATATGTGTTTATGTATGCATGCACGTATGTATGCACCAAATGTATTCTTGGTGCCCACAGAGGCCAGAACACATTATTGGATCTCGTGGAACTTGAGTTAAAGATGTGATTGTGAGCCACTGAGTGGGTGCTGGTAACCAAGCCCACCTCCTCTGCAAGAGCAGTAAGTGCTCTTAACTGTTAGCCATCTCTCCGGCCCTTTTGTTGGTAATTGTAAAAACAAACAGCATGTATTTTCTTTAATGGCTTCAGCCTTTCGGTAAAGGATAATACATATTAAGTAAGGAATTACATTTATTGAATACCTCTTTGTTTTTCTTTCCTAACTTTGAATACATTTGCCATAATTAGAAAATTTGTTGGGTTGTGGTGGTTAATCCCAGCAGAGGCAGAAGCAGGCAGGTATCTGAGTTCTAGGCTAGCCTGATGTACAGAATGAGTTTCAGGACAGCCAAGGCTGCACAGAGAAAGCCTGACTCAAAAAAAAAAAAAAAAAAAGAAGAAGAAGAAAGAGAGTGTATTGTTTCTGTAGTATCGTTTGAACTTTAATGTGTCTTTTTAATTTTTGTTTCATTTCTATTTAGAAAGTAGCTTTTATATACAGATTTTAACTCTGTTTTTTCAGGGCTACTTTGAAAGTTGCAACATACACAGAAACAGGATAGCGGGCTTTGAAGTAAAAGCCTATGCTAACCCTACAGTGGTTCGATGTGAAATTCACCATGGGCAGACTGGAGGAATATATGTCCACGAAAAAGGAAGAGGACAATTTATAGAGAATAAAATCTATGCAAACAACTTTGCAGGCGTATGGATTACCTCAAACAGTGACCCAACAATAAGGTATTTGCATAATTACAGTTAAAGGTTTTGGGGGGTTTTTTGTTTTGTTTTCTGGGTTTTTTTATTATTGTTGTTTGGTTGGGGTTTTTTACTTCTGAGAAAATTAAGATACTGAACTTTCTAACTCTTAAAATATGTGGTTCTGAAGAGATGGCTCAGCAGTTAAGAGCGCTGGTTGTTCTTCTAAAGGACCTGGGTTCAATTCCCAGCACATGCATGGCAGCTCACACTGTCTGTAATTTTAGTTCCAGGGGATCTGACACCTTCACACAGAAATACAAACAGACATGCAAGCAGTATACACATAAAATTTTTAAAAATAATTTTAAAAAGCAGACAAGCTTTCATATATTAATTATATATGTGTGTGTGTGTGTGTGTGTGTGTGTGTGTGTGTGTGTGTGTGTGTGTATAGGTTTTATAAACATCTGTAAAATGAGTTTTTCTGACTATCTAAATGAGTATAATTACTTCACTTTTCTGTTGTTTGTACTATTATTTTATGAATGGTTGAAAATGCTGTTATAGGTCATTTTTTTTCTTTTTTAATGGGGTTCCTGATCTCCCTGAATTTGACTGGCTTCAAATTCTCTATGCATACCACACTGGCCTGCCTTTGCATTGTAAGTGCTGGAATTAAAGGCATGTACTGCCATTCTCAGCTGACTTATTTTTAATTGTCAAGTTGTCCACTGGCTTTATGAAAATAAATTGCTAATATTTATCACATATTTCTAAGCCAGCTAAAAGAAATTGTTCTGAGTGTTTCGAGGTAATGTTTGAAATACTATGTTGGAGCTCAGTGTGATGGCAAATATCTGTATTTCTGTCACTTGAGAATCAGAGGGTGGAGGAATCCCACAAGTTTGAGGCCAGCCTTGTCTGCATAGTGACATTCTGAAGAAAACTAAAACCAAATCAAAACAGCAAAACAAGTATCATTGGGATCTAAGAACATAGCTCAGAGCTTACCCAGCAATATGTAAGACCTAGATTAGTTCAGCACTACAAAATAAACATAAATAAATTCTTTGTCATTTTAGATAATAGGTGTGTTTAAAAGCCCTTAGTAATAGAAAGGATTAAAAGAGAACTTAGAAATATCTAATTAGGCAGCCTCATTTGCGAATTAAAAACTTTTCTGTCCGAAGAAGCTAAATGATTTTCTTTCATATTACCACAGGTGGTAAAATAAGCTTTGTTAAATATATGAGTTTTTTAAAAATTATTTCATGTTATAGGGGGAATTCTATATTTAATGGAAATCAAGGAGGAGTTTACATTTTTGGTGATGGACGAGGCCTTATTGAAGGAAATGACATTTATGGTAAGCATATGATTTTGTTGTATAAAACTTACACATTAGCCTGTCTCGTGTGTGTGTGTGTCTGTGTGTGTGTGTGTATGTGTACTCGTGTACGCGTGTAAGCTTCACACATACAGACTTAATGAAGGAGGGGACAGGTAGGACAGGCTCAGTCCGTGGCCTCTACTTTCCTCCTAGCTCCTTGTACATTGCTTCCTCTGGGTATATCCCCACCCTCTTCTTGGTGAACCTGAGTACCTGCTTATCCTTGGAAACCTTGAACAATTCCATAGTGCAAGGTGTGAGGTCACATGCCTCCTACATCATGTGTTATGTAAACTTGGTGTGTTTGGTGAGGTACCATGGGGCTAGTTGTGCCTTGACTTGCTCATGGGCTTTATCACTTTGTGGCCTTTGTAAAGGCCCCCACAGTCATACGGATCTATGGCTCTTGCTCTTCAGCAGGGCCCACAGCAGTAAAACTAGCCTGTTCTGAAATTATCATCTAAGTGAGAGAAGTGGTCTAGTTCCTTTAAAGTCTCAATAAAGGAAGGGGCTAGAGAGATGGCTTAGCACTTAACAGTACTTGTTCTTGAGAGGACCTAGGTTCAAGTCCTTGCACCTACAACCATCTGTAACTTCAGTTCCAGGGTGTCCATGATCCAGATGTTCATGAGAACAAAATACACACAAAACAAAACAAGAATAAATATTGAAGAAAAAAATTAAGTTTCAAAGATTATTCTCTGATACATAAACATTCACTCAGAGGGAGGGAGGGTGGGATTGGGAGGGAATAATGAGGGAGCGGGACACGGTTGGGATACAGAGTTAATAAAATGTAACTGATAAGAAAAAAATAAAATTAAATAAAAAGAATATAAAAAAAAAAAAAACCCCATTCACTCAGTACTGTATATCCAAGGCACTATGCCAGATATCACAGGAAAACATACATAAGGGCCTACTGTTAAGGACTGTGTATGATTTTCTTATGTTCACTAAATATCCAATAATGAACAATGTTGGTTGAACTTCGGTCTACTTTGAGCTTGGTAGAGAAGGGATGCATTCCTCACTAAAGCTTTAATTCAGCAAACTGATATGTCAGGTATGTGGTATTCACATCAATTCTGTTTGATAGAAATTAATAGCTATCTCTAGTTGTTAATTTCAAGACAGGTATGAAAAGGCTAGAATACAGACTCAAAGTCACATTGGAAATAAACACTTAACAACCTGTCCTGATCTCATATATTAATCTGCCTGAGTCATTTCTACATCTACTTCTCCCCTCACCCTCTTAGCTGTGTCGTGTAATGCTCACTAAAATTCTAGTATATGCATTGTTACTATTGCCTGATGTAAAATTTACTTTGTACTACAAGGCTCTAAACATTGACACTGTAAATTTTATTTTTAAATAGGCAATGCATTAGCAGGAATTCAAATTAGGACAAACAGTTGTCCTATTGTTCGACATAACAAAATTCATGATGGACAACATGGTGGGATTTATGTGGTAAGTTAATGATTGTAGATACGTAAACTCACGCGTGGAGGGCTGTGCATCGCTGTAGAGTGCTAACCTGGAGTGTGTTCAGTTCCCCACACCACATAAGCCCGGCCTAGTGGCCCAAGACTATAATCCCAGGATTTGGAAGAGGCAGGAAGATCAAAAGGTCAAGATGAAATTGAATATAAGCAAATCCAGTGTTAGTCTGGACAACATGAGATCCTGCCTCAAAAAATAGGCGAGAAGGAGGAAGAAAACTACAAGTGACTTACCAAGAAGCCCACACCCAGGTTCTTGGGGACATCTTTCTAAGCAGCCAGTTCTCTTACTTAACTCACATGCTCAAGCCTTGTATTAAAATAGCTGTTAAATTCCTGACTGTTTCATAAACAGAAGGTAGGAACAGCTGGGTTTGGAGCCTGTGACCCCAGCTTGGAGCTGGGGTTGGGGAGTCACACGCTGAGATAAGCAAGGGCTGCATGGGGCTTCCTTGGCAGTGTGCTTGCCAAACAAAGCATGATGACTTGGCGTTTGATCTCCAGAACCCACTTTAAAAAAAAACCAAAAGGTGTGATGGCTGTAGTTGTAATCCATTGCTGGGGAGTCAGAGATGGGAAGGATTTCTGTACTGACTAGGGGGATAAAAAACCAAAATGGGAAAAATACATAGTGAAAATGATTCACAGGAAAACATGGGGTTCAGGCAGGGTTGAGAAGATTATATTTGACTTTTAGATTATGAATTTGTAGACAATAATAGTCTTATTCTTCCTTTGAACATGAGTGACTTCTAGTTCTTATGTGTAGGTAGCTGACTACTTTTTGGCATAAGAGATAGAACCTCTTTAAATTTATTTATTTGGGTGTAGGGGAATGCATGCCATTCCTCAACGAGGGAGGTCAAAAAACTGCTTGTTGGGAGTCAGTTCTTCCCTTCTACCATGTGGGTCTCAGGCATCACACTCAAATCATCAACCTTCAGAACCAAGTGCCTGTACCCACTTAGCCATCTCACGTCCCCTTAAAGTTGTAGTTACTGGAAACTGGAAGCTATGTCTGCTAAAAGTGTAGGAACTGATTGGCAGTCGGCTTTGTATTTTACTGGAATTTTGTCAGTGTGACTACTCTGTGAATCTGAAATGCTATAAAAGCAATATATAAAGCATAACCACTACTACCACCCCCAAAAGAGGGAGCCTGAGAATGAAACAGCCACCTGGATCTTATTTTCTAAAGGTGATAAAAATTCTGATATCATAGAGTCCTTACCATTTTGGAGTAATTTCCCAGAAGCTGGCAGTAACTTTTGTTAAAGGAGACATTTTTATTAATGTTATACATCTTAGAAATGTTCATTTGCTTTTAAAAAAAAAATGATGCTTTTTCTCTTACTGTGGTAGTAACTACTCAAAGAATATTTTAAGAAAAATTTTAGAAGATTAAACTCAAGTAGAAGCCATTTTTAAAAAATGTGGTATTTGAACCCAATTTAGGAAGAGTGGGATAGGAAGAGCAAATGTTAAGAGGTCAGTCTGTCTTTAAAATAAAAAAAAAATCAAATAACTAAAGGAAGCTAAAATAGTTTTAAAAACAATGTTGGGCTGGGCATGATGGTGCACGTCTTTAATCTCAGTGCACAGAAGGCAGAAGTGGGTGGATCTGAGATCAGCCTCCTCTACTTAATGTACTCCAGCTGCCCAGGACTACGTAGTGAGACCTTGTCTCAAGGGGGAAGGGCAGTTTGGGTCTCAGTGAGATGGTGGAGCTGGGAAAGACACTTGCTGCACAAGCCTGGTAGACGTAGTAAAGGCAGTGAAGGGCCTGTGGAAGAGCCAAGCACTCAAACAGACACCTGGATTTGTGCCCTCTAACCCATGGAAAGGTAGAAAGAGAAAAGTGACTCCAGAGTTGTTCTTGACCATCATATTGTGCCATGGCATGTGTACACACTCACACAAATAACAAATTTTTTTTTATTGTTGTTTTTGTTGTTTTGTTTTGTTTTTTGTAGAATGTTGGAAGATAGTGCTTAGTAGTTGGGCATATTCCTAACATTCATTAGTCCAGGACTAGAAAAGGAAAAAAGTTGTCATGATTTCTTTAGGTAGCTGAAAAAGACACCAAAGCTGTTGGCAGAACTGTTTGAGGGAGGAGCATACTTACAGACTGTTTGCTATGGATGGCACATACTATAACCAGTTTAACTTCTGTCCAGCATGAAAAGGGACAAGGTGTAATAGAAGAGAATGAAGTTTACAGCAACACTCTGGCTGGAGTCTGGGTGACAACTGGCAGCACACCAGTACTGAGAAGAAACCGGATACACAGTGGCAAGCAGGCAAGATTACTTACTTGGTCTTCTTTGGGTCAGTAATGCTTAAAAAAGTATCAGGTGAAAAAGAGTTGTTCATTTCTTTCCCTTCAAATTTAGGTTGGTGTTTATTTTTATGACAATGGACATGGTGTTCTAGAAGATAATGACATCTACAATCATATGTATTCAGGGGTTCAGATAAGGTAACTGTTCTTACTTGGTCTTCTTTTGTTAAGGGCTTGGGAGTATGTCGACTGAAAATTGCTTATTTAATGGGCAGTCATTCTGTGTGTATTCTTTGCACTTGGAGCTTTCCTTGGTCGAGTTAATGACATATGCCACTCAGTTCACTGTTGTGCAGTCCAGATTAGTTCAGCCACTGCCTGCCCTCACCCTGTGCCTGGCATCTCATTGGTATTCCATAAAATGGAAACTTGTTTTTATGTCGTATTTATTAAACAAACCTTTAAACTCACTATGTAGATCAAGATGGTCTGGAACCAGATCCTACTACTTCTGCCTCCACAGTTCTGATGCTGGGATTAAATACATGCAGCACCATGTGTACCACGAATAACGTTTTACATCTAATCTTTAATTGTTTATGGAATTCTGTGTCTTGGTGGGGGGGGGGGCGTTTATTTTTGTTGTTTGAGACAGGGTCTTCGTCTAGACCATGCTGGTTTCAAATTCACAGAGATCTGCCTCCCAAATTCCGGGGATTAAAGGCATGTACTACATCTGCTCCAGGAAGCCTAAGGGTCTTAATTCAACCTTTAACTTCCTTTATGAGGAGATGTAAAGTCATTTAACCTCAGTTTAACTTAGCTATAGAGGCTCTGTATAGCCATAATCTACAGCAAATGATGTAAAGAGTGATTTATGGGAAAATCAGGATTAAAGTTTTTTAATTATTAGCCAATTTATAATTTTCGTGTATGCATGTGGGCAGGTATGTGTACAAAGGCACAGATGACGAGTTTAGAGAATGACTTTCAACCCAGTTCTCCCTCCACCATGTGCGGTCAGGTCATTAGCCATGTTGTGAAATGCTAAGTCATCTCACTAGCCCTATGAGTCAGTTCTTGCCATGATGAGTGTGGCTTGTAGTTATAAAAGATGAGATTGGTAAATTAGAATGATTGAAATGGTTTTACTTTCTTTCTTACCCATAGGACTGGAAGCAACCCCAAAATTAGACGCAACAAAATTTGGGGAGGACAGAATGGTGGAATTCTAGTTTATAATTCTGGTATGTTTAACCCATTTTTTTTCCCCCTGTGTTAATAAACTTTAGGAATATGCCTTCTAAGTAATGTACCTAAATTTTACATTTATAGGTCTAGGCTGTATAGAAGACAATGAAATATTTGACAATGCAATGGCTGGAGTCTGGATTAAAACAGATAGTAATCCTACACTAAGAAGAAATAAAATCCATGATGGAAGAGATGGTGGCATCTGTATATTTAATGGGGGTCGAGGTATTGTTGCTAATTTTGCATTAGTGAAAAACTCAGTTTTCTGTTGTTCTTCTCTATCTTTAACGATCAGAGACTCCAACTAAAATGTTACAAATGAATGAGCCTTTTTCCTTATCACATCCTTCAGATGGCTTAGGAAATTAGTATCTAGGAATGTTCATAGTGTTTCCATCTTTTGTAACCACCTTGACTGAAGCTTTTTTGAAGACAGAGTTGCACATCCTCACTCTGGTCCTTTTATTATTCTAATAAAGTCAAGTTACAGAATGTGACAAATGAATATGCAGCTCTATAGCAAACAGGTGTTGAAACTGCTGGAGAACTGAATTAACAAAGACAACTTGGTCCTGGTCCATAAAGCCAACCCAGTTTGCCTTGAGGCATTTGTTAGTCGTACAGTAGATTACCTTGTGTATATAAACAGATCAGGAGACAGTGCTGAGAGCAAAGCAGTGTTCCTCCAATGTCAGCAACCCAAGGCTGCATTATCCCACATGAAAAAATTACACCAATACTTGAAATAATTTACTAGAGCAGAGCAGTGATGGTCAATGCTCTACTCTTAGAGGTCAGATTTTAGTAGTTCAAAAGCTAAGTGACATAGCTGATAGTCTTTTAAAAAAGGTGAGGAAAAGTCAACTGTATAAGTCAACCTATAATCTCAGCACTTGGAAGTCTGAAACAGATGTGCCACAAGTCTAAGGCTAATGTGGGCTCAGTGTGAGAGACTGGCAAAAGAACAAAGAAAAAAATAAAGTGGGGTCAGTTTTCATTTGCAGGATGTTGAGCAAAGTTTCCTACAATAAAATGTTTCAAATTATTCAACTGGTGGAGGGCATTCCAAGTATGGTTTGACATTTACTTATTTTGTAATGCCCGATTGAACATCTCTGTACCAACCACTGTGGTACAGTGGTACAGTATGACATCCCTAAAATCTACAATTAGATGGGGTGGCACATTGTTAAACAGGATCTGAAGGAAACTGAAAACTGTTCAGAAGGTGCAAGAAGTGAACAAAACTAAAGCTGAGAAAGATGTCTATATGCAGTCAGTGTTTTAACTCTTAATAGCATCAGAGGTCCATGAGATGGCTCAGCATGTGGAGGTGCGTGTTTGTGCACAGGCCTGAGGACCTGAATTGAGTCCCCATATCCCACAAGGTAGCCAGAGTCCTCCACACATGTACACCTGAATGCACATATTCAGTAAATATGAGTAAGACAAATGAGCAAGCTGGTCAGAAGCAAGGACTTGATATAAGGTAGGCAAGTTATGGATACATAAACTTACAAGGGCTGAAAGTCTAAAAGGGTAGGAATGGGTTAGAGATGGCTCAGTGGTTACTAATCTGTTCTAGCAGAGGACCTAGGTTCAAGTCCGAGCATCTACATGGTGGCTTACAGGCCTAACTCAAAAGTCCCAGGAATCCTGTCCTCTTCTGACCTCTTTGTACATGCAGGGAAATAAATAGATGGGAATGTGTTGGTGCAGGTGCTTAGTAGTATGTTGATTCTTAATGTGCAAGAGGAAGGATAAGAGAACACTGCAGTGAGAGACAGTGCAATGCCCAGAAGTACCTGAGGTCAAGTGTCTACTGAGATAAAAACATCTACCTTGTGGAAACAGAAATACCCATTTAAAACAGGTAGTGGGATTCTGTAATTACTATGCAAGTCTGTGCACCACTTTGCATGCTTGATAACTACAGAGGCCACAAGAGAGAGCTTTGGATCCCCTGAAACTAGTTAAAAGTGGTTGTGAGCCACTATGTGGTGCTGGGAATTAAACCCAAGTACCCTGGAAAAGTAGCCAGTGCTCTCTAATCACTAAGGAAAACTAATCACGATCTAAAACAGGTTGGCTGTAAAGTACCTGTTACTAGTATACTTTACCTTGGTAGTAATTTGCCCACTCATAGCTAATGATACAAGTATTAGAAGGACTCAAGTCTTGATTCCTTGGCACACTTCCACAACTGGTATGAAAACCTCAGAGAGTGACAGTAAGAAAGTACAAGACATATAAATACAAATACTGTGATGGAGTCAGTCAGGACAAGGAGAATCTTTAAAGACTTCAAATACAAGTTGGTTTTTAAAACACTCAAAAACTAGTCTTTTGAGCAAAAAAAAAAAAGTTTCAGATGAAAGGATACAGGCATAAAGAAAAGGTTCAGAATTCTGCAGATCACTAAAGCTTTCTTTTGAACTGAAAGAAGGCTAATGTATAATAATGCAGTTAGTAAGAAATAGGAGGAAGCTAACTACAAGGAGCTAGCAAAGTAGCACTAGGCATGCAGTGGTGCATGCCTGTAACCATGGGGTTTCTAGCACTCAGGGGCCAGTCTGGGCTATATGATACCCTTTCAACAGTGCTGTATATGTTAGCTTTAATCTAAGCATTTTAATTATAGGTCTCCTTGAAGAAAATGATATTTTCAGGAATGCTCAAGCAGGTGTTCTTATCAGCACTAATAGTCATCCTGTCTTAAGAAAAAACAGAATATTTGATGGATTTGCTGCAGGTTTGTATTTTTATTGTGGCTTGTTTTACAATTTGTAATTATAGTTTTGAGGTTGTTTTATTTGGTTATTAAGAGAGAACCTATTTGAAGTTCTGCATTCTTCTACTTTAGGCCAACTTTTTAAGGAATTACTCTTGTAATCAGATTGGAAATAAAGTTTAGAGTCTTGTGACTTCTAGATAAAAATTGGTTTCTCTTTCATTACTTAAAATAACCACTTAGCTTTTCAGCATTTTTCTTTTTAATATGAAAACTGTACTTACCTCAGCATAGTTCTGGGTACTATCTCCTTTATACTTAGCTTTAAAGTTTTTAAAAACTCTTAAGCCCTTTCTCATTAGCAGTATTCCTATAGTTTACTTGATCTGTCGGACGTTGTCAGCAGTGAAAAGTGAATGTTACTGTTGATTAAAATACTTGCAGCTTTTTAAGATAGTAAGCAAACTAGTGTAAAAGTACCAGTTTACATCCTTTTCAACTTGGAGATTCTAAGAATGGTGTAAAATGATGATGCATCTACTTGTCTATAAATTTCACTTCAGGTATTGAAATTACGAATCATGCAACCGCAACACTAGAAGGCAATCAGATTTTTAACAACCGATTTGGAGGCTTGTTTTTAGCATCTGGTGTTAATGTGACAATGAAAGGTAAGTTCTTTTAAGAACTCTAAAAAATTCCCACCAGAAGCCATTGTTAATTCTCTCTCCAACTTAGCAATTTTAAATGACCAGTTTTAAATCTGGCTTAAGCTTGTTCCAGGAGTTGGAATAATTTATACAAGCAAAACTTATTTCTGTTCTTATATATCCTTGGCTAGCTGTTAAAAATATTTTTTGTTTTTGCAGATAACAAAATAATGAACAATCAAGATGCCATAGAAAAGGCTGTTAGTAGAGGACAATGTTTATATAAAATATCAAGTTATACCAGCTATCCCATGCATGACTTCTACAGGTATATTTCTAAATTACTTGAGTAATGGAATTGATTCCCTAACACCTTTCGTTGGTCTGCACTGAAGCTCTAGAATCAAACTATATACTAAATACAGAGGGGAAATGGAAATGTACTACTGTAGACTAGGCTGGCCTTGAGCTCACAGAAATCTACCTGTCTCTACTCAAATGTTTCAATTATTATCTGTGAAGACACAGATAATAATGTTCCTTTTTAGTCTAGCCAGTCTTGCCAGCCACAGGTTCTCCGCTAAAGGCCAGAGAGTAATAATAAACAGTGTTCTGAATTCCTGACAAGTTCAATAATACAAAGTTTTGCTTTTTAGATGTCATACCTGTAACACCACAGACCGAAATGCCATATGTGTGAACTGCATTAAGAAGTGCCATCAGGGACACGATGTAGAATTTATTAGACATGATAGGTACGTAGTGCACTTGTTGCCGTCACCCCCTTACTGCCCTTCACTTTGCTAATTTTTGGACTTTCATTTTGCTTTAGGTTTTTCTGTGACTGTGGTGCTGGAACACTGTCCAATCCTTGTACATTAGCTGGTGAGCCTACACACGATACAGACACATTATATGACTCTGCTCCACCTATAGAATCTAATACGTTGCAGCACAACTGAACTCCTTCCCTAAAGAAAAAGTCCTGCCATTCTAACATCGTAACTTAAACATCTTTTGGAAGATTTAAATCCTTGCCCATGCTACAGAAAGAGACTGTACTGAAACGGTGGATACACAAGGTCAGTTGACACTATGAAGCGCAAGCTACCAAAAAGAAAGTGGCAATATATTGACTCAGGATCTCAACGCTGGGGGTTTAGCATTACTGTGTAAAGACTTTTGAAGGGACAGAAGTGAAGAAACAAGCTGCAATTTTGTACAGATACCAACTTCTGAAAAAGCTGGTGTTTTTACAACTAGCATTGAATGCAGTCCGATTTGCAGTAGTAATCTTCAATAGACAAGCAGCTTTGTTGCTGCCTTTATGGACATGGGTACCAATTGCTTTTGTAATATGGTAAAAATGTGAGCTAGCACTTCTGCATTGATTTTTTTAACATGTATTCAGATTGAGAATATGATTTTAATGCTTTAATCTCATGTAGTTTGTTTTTAATTTCAAGCAAATCTTATTGTACTTGAATGTGCCCTGTTTTGTTAGCACACCTAGACTTGCTGTAACTGTACTCATGTCCCAGTATGTACGTTCTTTCTATGAAAGAGAAAAACACTAATCTTAAATTATATCCAGCAATGTTTCTGGTATCCTTTAAGAAAAGTTAAGACTATTATTTCCTTCCCTTTCCTGTGCAGCATTCAAAAATCACCCTAGAAAAAGTGAGTGTTTTCATGAGACTTCCTAGGAAGGGATGCACTGTAAAACAAAAAGTATTCTTGTATCTCAGTTTTGTGAAAGGTAAAAACTACTATGTTTTAAAGTACACTTTAGAAAGTCTCTTCAAAACAGTCCTGTATTTGAACTCTGTTCATAGTTTTTATTTGAACAGTTTAGACAAAACAGCTGGAAATTACAGCAGTTTCCTGCATTAAGCTGAGACCAGTATATATACGGCCCTATACAGTTTCATAGCTCCCCCCATTTATGTGTATTGGTGACAGTGGGTATAAACAGCCTGAAAGTGTATGCATGTACCATAACATCTAGACTTAATATATTGTGGAGTACTCAATAACCATTATGTAGAAGGTAGGTAAGAATTAAAAGGGTTTAATTTCCTAGAAAGAAAATGGAAAAATGGTCATTTTTAAAAAATAAAGTTTATTAGATCATAATGTTGTCTGAATTTACCACCTTTGTCAAAAGTCAACTCAGTTTTCAATGTAGTCTACAGTTCGTTAATCAAAGCCAGCAACCTATGGATAGCTCCAGGGTCTACAGTCGACTTTTCACTAGCCAGACAAACTTCCCTTTAAAAAAAAAAAAAAAAAAAAAAAAAGTTATTTCCTTTTGTCTATCAACCTTCCAATTCTTTATTTAAAGTCAGCTATAGGGAGATGTATATTCTTTATCCAGTTGTAATTACCTAAATATCCGTAATGACTGGTTCATCTTCTCAAATTCTCTTGCTTTTCGGTGTCCCTTTTGAATAACCTCCTCGGGAAGGTTAGCCAGCCTTGCTGCGTTAAAGCCATAGCTCTTAGGACACGCTCCCTTGATGAATTTGTAGAGGAAGGTAATTGTTTCCTGGCTGGGATCCTCACATTCATTTTCTACCATGCATGCCTTCAAGAAAAAGAAAATGGTTTATCACAGTTCAACTACTTACTTGCTGCCAATAGAAAAATGCCTGATTGATTTGCACATACCATATGTCCTAGGCGCACACAAACATTTTTAGAATAATCTTCTACTAATGAATGATAGTGTGTAGAGAAGAGTGTTCGACACTTTATGGTTTCAGCAAGTTCTTTAACAACTGCACTGGCTATCGCTGTCCCGTCAAAAGTTGCAGTACCTCTTCCTGTGAAAGTGAAATGCGCTGTACATTAGAGATGGATACCTCATGATAGGGTTGCAGTGGTAAAACTCCTACAGTTCCAGCTACTCAGGGGTACTGTGGGAATGCAAGACTAGCCATACAGAACACCTACCTTCTATCACATCAGTAACTCTGTGGTACTACCCCACAAGTACATGGGAGGAAGGAGAGCTAAGGCATAAGATACACTGTTACAAAACACATTTTATAAAACAAAGTTATAACAGAAAAAAAAATCTCTCATATAGGCTTGATGACTCAGTTCACTCAGGAATTCAAGGCCAACCTGGGCAAATTAGTGAGACCCTGTACAGGTGGGGTCTTGCCTGGTAAGGCATTTGCCACTAAGCCTGATGATCTCTGAATACCACATGGTAGAACACAACAACACACAGAGTTGTCCTAAAGAGGGAGATGAGGAGATGCTCAGCAGTTAAGAGTAGAGGATCACAGCGCTGGGAAGCTGAGGTGGGAAGGTCTCAGAGTTTGAGGACAGCCTGAGCTACACAGAAATCCTGTCTCAAAGCCAAAAAAGATCCAAGTTCCCTCTGTGGGCACTGCTTGCACATGGTGCAGATACACACGCCCACATATATGAACTCTTGGTTAACTTTTTGTGTGCATAGGTGTTTAAAGCCAGACAACCCTGGATCTGGAATAAACAGGCCAATTGTGAACTGCCCTGATGTGGGTGCTGAGATCAAACTCCTGCCCTGTGGAAGAGCAAAGCATGTATGAGTCATTTTTATTTAAAAGGGGGGAGGAGGAGCTTGAGAATGCACCCCAGCAGTACAGCTCTTGCCTAGCATACAGGAGGCATAGGTTTAGTCCCAGAATAGCCAGAAGGGAAATAGGTCCTCCATTCTAATGGCATTCAAACAAAAATGTATCTTACCTAATTCATCCACGAGCACCAAAGAATGTGCTGTTGCATGCCTAAGTATGCTAGCCGTTTCACTCAACTCAACAAAAAATGTACTTTCACCTAAAACAGCAAACAACGTGTTAACAGCAGTTATCTTATTTGAATATGACAAGCAAGAGGTGAAACTACAAAATTTGTATGTTTTAAGTGATATTTGTAGAAGTTTGAGTTTTAGTTAACATCAGGTTTAAAATAAGAGGCAGATGTCTTTATCCCTGACAACTGAATTGTAAAAGCCTTAGGTGTGGAGGAAAAAGAACAACTCACCTGACATTATTCTATCTGAGGCACCAAGTCTAGTAAACACTCTATCAACTGGTGTGAGCCTACACATTTCAGCAGGTACATAACAACCCATCTGGGCCATTACAGCTAATAGACCAGCCTGTGAAGGTGGGAGGAAAGGTATTATGATTGGTATTCAAAGAACCTGTACACAATACACATTTGACTCAAGAGTCTTACATAGGACTCTGGTATTCCATACTAGTAAAGCCTAGCAAGCCAGCAAAGCCTCTGGCCTTTCCCTCTAGTAAATCCCAAGTCTACCTAAAGGGATCGACAGGAAGCTCCCTAAAACTACAAATGTGTAGAACCAGTCCTGGATCCAGCAAGCTTATCTCAGGAGAAAACCCCCATACTTGTCACATTCTTCCACTTTTGCTTTTTTTTTTTAAGTTGAAAAATATACACAACACAGCCAATTTTGTTAGCAAAGATACAGTATGTACAGTAACTGGACTATTCTTTTCCAGCCTTTTGAAAATGTAAAGGCCAATTTCAGTTCTGCGGTTGGCAGAGTCTAGTACACAAGAGAAAAAGAGAAGTACGTCAAAACGGGTGTCTTGTTTCCTCTAAAAGTTGTTCCAATATTAACCAGGTCATTTTATAAGGACCACATTTGGAAGCACAATTGAGTCTTAATTTAAAGTACTGGGGGGTATAGCTGGAGGTATGGAGCCCAGCAGTTAAGAACATGTACACAAAAAAACAAACATGTGAGGCCTTGGGCTCAATCCCCAGCACTAAAATAAATTAGTAGCAAACCCTCATCAACTGAAACCCTCCTCTGTTGGTCATGAGAGTCAAAGCCAGGGTCTCACACATGCTGTCATGTTTTGAGCCACCAGCTGAAGAGAAAACATCAATTATACTTGGACTTTCAATCTGCTTCCCTCTTGACTTTGTGCTGTCTAGAAAATGGACAAGATTATACAGTATTTGCCCCTTATCTTAGAATTACTTTATAGAACATGAAGGATAAATTACCTGTCTTATGAGTGTAGATTTGCCCCCCATATTAGGTCCAGTAACAAGCACACAGTAGGCTTTACCATTTTCCTCTGCTTCCACCTCACAGCCTATTAGAATGTCATTAGGAATAAACTCATCTCCAAAAAATGTTTTTGTAATGCAGGGATGTCGTGACCCTTTAAGCTCTAAGAAGGGCTGTGTATCTTCTCCTGGTAACAGAATTACTGGACGACACATAGGACCATCTCCTCCTTGACTGTAGTTAGTCAGGCACAGTAAAACATCTGTGGAGAGGATAAAAATAACACTTCATCATTTTGGTAATTTCTTGTTGGGTAAACTATCATACCACTACACAATACCTGTGCTAGCTTCTATAAAATGTCTTTTAAAAAAAGGGCCAGCAGCCAGGCATGGTGGCACATGCCTTTAGTCCCAGCACTTGGAGAGGCAGAGGCAGGAGGATCTCTGAGTTTGAGGCTAGCCAAGGTTACACCAAGAAACCTTGTCTCAAAAAAGTCAACGGGGTGGGGGTGGGGCTCAGCAGGCCAAAGGTTCTTGCCTCTGAGCCTAACAACCCAGGTTTGATCCCCAGGGTCCATGTGGTAGAAGTGTTGTACTACTCAGTAAACGCAGTTATGTTTATTTTATCCTAAAATGCAGTTAGTGCCAGACATAGTAACGCACACCTTTGATCCCAGCACTTGGGTAGGCATAACAAAATGTTACTAAAAGCAAGTTATTTGTCTAGTGTTTGTTTCATGTCTTCACTAAAATAGTTCCTAACTAGTTGGAGGAGGGGTACTGATGCCCAAATGGCTCCAGATACACTAGCCCTGATATTTATAACCAAATTATAAGTATACTAATCAAGACAAAGATATTGTAGGAGGGCTAGAATTACAACTAATATAAAGCCTAGATTCACTCCCAGTCCTCTGCCCCCCCCAAATTATTTCCATGCAAATCTGATTCAAAGAAGAAAAAAAAAAGAACCACAAAGAATAAAACCAAATTTATACTTTTATCTCTTATTAACATGGCAAAATAAAATTATAAAAGCTGCAGAATAGTGACCCCACTCCTCCAAGTAATCCTAGTACTTAGGGAGCTGAGGCAGAAGGACTGCCAGGAGTTCAAGGTCAGTTTATGCTGTCCTATCTTTAACAGTAAACATTTTAAAAAAGAAACTTGAAAGTAAATTTTCCCTCACTAATACAACTCAACTATTATTCCAAGACTGAAGAAAAAATGTCCTAAGACTATTACCAGCTAAAATCCAAGTTTCAATTACTTATACTGCTTTGTAAAATGCAGTTAATTTGTCTGATGCAAAGCAAGCATGTATGCATACATGTCGGTGCACACAACCATGTTAAATATACTAGGTTTAGAGATCTATAGCTGGGACACAACGTTTTTATCAACGAAAGCCTGGGGAGTAAGGTTGGTAAAGCCTTACCCAACACTGCAATGCACTCCACAGCAGATTGCCAGTCCTTGTGATTTTTATCAAAGTTATAGAACAGCCGCCGCATGCAGTCCTTCAAAGACATATCCCTTCGTTCTTCAGCATTTATAAGATTAGATAATTTCTTCTCAATTGTTTTGGTCCAGTATCGTTTGCAGCCTTTTTTAGTAGATTTCAACTCATACTCTTCGGGTAGATTACGGGTAGCAAAATTCTCTGGAATCTCCAACTGATAACGGTTCCTACCAATTCCCCAGTAGGCTATGGACCTACAGCCAATCCGAGTACGCTGTTTCTCTAAGTAATCCAGGAAGCTCTGTTCATTCTCTCTAATGTCAGCAAGTGCTTGGTCGTAATCTGAATCAAACCCAGGTTTTGGAGTAATGAGTCCAGTCTTTCGAGCCTTCTCGTGGTCAAAAGCTGTATCCCACCGGTTCAGTTCTGCAGTCAGATCAGGAAATCGGCCTTCAGGACTTTTACTATGTAGAGTAACAACCTGCTTAAGGGTTTTAGACTTAAAATCATCAGCAACACCCTCCATAAGCCCTATAATTTTACACATTACTTTGAATCCTTCTAGAGCAGAAAGAAAATCAATGATCTTTTTTTTGCTGTATGTAGTTTCTTCATACATTATAGCCCTGCTATCTGGATGGTTCTTACTCTTTAGGGGAGACCCAACATTATGAATCTTACTCAACAGCCTCTCAAGATCTGGGAGCTTCTTTAGGAGTTCTGCAACTTCAGTGATTTTGTCAGGTACAGCCATCAGGTCTTCAACAGCATCTAAGCGATCACTGACAGCAGATGGGCTGCAAAGGGGAGCACATAGCCACTGTCTGAGGAGCCGCTTGCCAAAGGGGGTATGGCAAGTATCGAGCCTCTCCAGCAGAGTCCCTTCCGTAGAACCAGTTGTCCCATTCAGGAAAATCTCCAGGTTGTTTAACGTCACTGAATCTAACACCATTCGCTGATTAGCTTTAGTGAAGATTGTACCAGGTCTTACTGTGCTGATCACGTCAGAATCCAAGGGAAAATATTCTTCAAAATTAGCCATTGACAGAAGCTCCTGATCAATCAGGCATTTTTTGAGGTAGAAAACACAACCACCTAGAGCAGAGAGAGCCAGTTCACTCTCGTCCCCTGGTGTCAGTCCAACAGAATCTGACTCTGAGGTCATAGCTTTGAGCACCTGGGGCAGCACCACACTACTGTCTTCATCTAACCTTCCAGCAAAATACCCTCCCTCAAGGAGTGTTCTCAAAGTCTTAGTGGCATCCCAAAACTGGGAGCCTGGGATCAGACCTTCCTGAAGACAAGAGGACAGTGAACCCTTCAGGACAGTTTTGGTTTCTGTTGAGATATTTCCCTTCTCAAACAAAATTTGTACTGGAGGATAGTGTGCCACTAAAGTCCTAAATCTGGAACAGTGGCGATCATCCGTAAACTGGCCTATGGTAAACTTGCCCAGTGAAGTATCAACGAAGCACACACCATATACACGAGTGTGACCAGAAGAATCTTCCTCTTTCTCTTTGAGGCTAAGGAGATACCTACTATAGCTCTCAGAAGGGTCACCATCCAGCACACCACAGGTCTGCGTGCCCTTGGTAATGATCCTACAAATCTCCCTCCTCACCACTCTGTCGAACTTAGATACGTGTGCCATCTTCCGGCACCGTGCCTCCAACATTTCTGGGGTCTCAGTCTGTTCCACTCGTGCTACCTTATAGCCCTTCTGCACCAAGGAATCTGAGTATCGGCCAAATGCAATTTCTGGAAAACCAGAATGGGCCCAGTTGCCCTTCATGAATATCAGCCCTAGCTCATTTACTCCAGTAACTGCATCCATATGATACAGTTCATAAAACTTCCCCACCTTATAAAAGATGACAAGGTCAAAGTTCTGAGACTTGATCTGCCACCACTTTCTCATCCCTGGAGTACAAGAATTAAGAAAATCTTCAGGCACATACAGGGTAGAAGAATCAAAATCGGGGTGATCAGGCCGTCTCCTGTGCTCATCTCTTCTCTTTTCTGGCTTAAGCCATTCTAAAGTTTCATGATACCAAATAGTGGGCCCATTACTGTCATCACCTCCTCCACTGATGTGGGTTTGAGATTCAGAATTTTGAGGGGCGGAGAAAGCACTCAAGGTACTCTTGGTGTCTGACAAAATTCGAGATGCTCGTTTGGCTGAGGCTGTTTCCTTCTTGGAACTTTTCCTTTTCAGTGTACCGTGAGCAGCAGTTCTCTTGCGCTTTGGAGCACCTTTGGCAAAGGTGCCCAGGCCTTCACTGTCACTGTCTCCAACTCCACTGCTCACTTCATCACTGCTTCCTTCTTGCTTAGTATCTGGCTTGAATTCTACATCAGAGCCACCAACGTCACTCTCAGAATCTGAAATGACCCTTCGCTTTTTCACTTGCCGGCTACTCCGTCGAGACCCCTGCATCTTAGGCTGTACTTCTTCATTCTCACTTTGATTATCCTCTTCACTCTTATCAGATATGTAAGCCTCGTGCACCTGCCAAACAAAGAAAGGTTTTTGTAAAAAGAAAACATAGGCCCTAAATCAAATCTGACACCACTCGATCTCTGGAACCCAGCTGTTCTGACTTGGGCCTAGAAGCCCAGCACTCAGGAAGCTGAGGCATTAAGACTACTGTAGTATTAAAGCCAGCATGGGGCAGAGATGTGGCTCAGTTGACTCACTTGTAAATTCCTGGGTTTTATCCTCAGCAATTCATAAACCAGGAAAGTTGACAGACACCTGTAATTCCAGCACTTAGGAGGAAGAAACAGGAGAACTGTTAAATTTCTCCTCTCCTACATGTGAAGTTCAGTTCAAGGCCAACATGGACTCTATGAGGCCCTATCTCAAAGACACAAGAGCAGTGCTGCTGTGCAATCTTACCCGGGTTCTGCAATGTCAGAAAACCTTGAGAAAGTGTTTGTTCTTAAAGATATTTCAGTTTAGCCTAACTTTAAACATAAACCAAACCTAATACCACGGGTCTGTACTCCAACTACTTGTAAGGTTGAGACAAGAGTTTTAGGCTGGCCTGAGCAACTCAGTGTGCCAGACACCCTGTCTCAAATAATTTTTTTTTTTCCTAAGAAGAGGGTGGGTGGGAAAGTGGAAGAGCACCTGCCTAACATGTATGAGGCCCTGGGTTCAATCCCCAGGACTAGTAGACAACCATGTATAACCTGTCATCCCAGTATATCAGAGTCAGACAGCAAAAAGACTATGAGCTTGAGGCCAGCTTCAGCTACAAAGATTGTCTCAAAAAGGGGGAGGAGTCTACTGAAATTCTAAATAATCTAACATAACTTCCAATCCAGGAAAGTATAGACATAAAAGCACACTGGGGCATTCACATGAAATTACTAGTATTTATTATCTTTCATGACATAAACATCATTTTCCCCATTACCCCCTCTCCCCCAAGAGAATGCCTGACCTCTGTCTCCTCATCCTCTTCTGGCTCTGAAGGCTCATCACACACTGCCAACTCAAGCCTCTTAAGCTTGTCTTTATTTAAGGCTTCATCTGCACGTTGCATTGCTCTGAGTATTTCAGACTTTGAACTGTAGAAATGACCTCCTTTTTGGGCCTCCTTTGACTTTGAACCTAGAAATACAAATAAGAACATGGTGGCTGGATAGTTGGCCAATTTACAACATGAACAAGAAGTTACAATCAATTATAATTTTTAATGCCCCATTTTTCATATACATAGATCAAAAGCTTATAGAAAGGAATTTGCAGGGGAAAGCTAGCAATCAAACTGGAATCACTGACTTCACTTTTTTCAATTTGCCCCGTTTAGTCATCCAAGGCCGCTTCCTTCAGGTTCTCTTCTAATGTCTCAGACTCATGGGCCAAGGTACGAAAAACCTCAGAGCAAAGCAGATAAAATGTGGTTTGTTCAGGGATTCTTTCTAAACTTGTCCCAAAGATACTCCAGATTCATTTAAATAAATAACTAAATGAAAGTATAACTCAACTGGTAAGCATGCTTGCTGAGCATGTACAAGGCCCCGGGATCCTTGTAAACCAGGAGTGGTAATACTAAATGTTATCTCTAGCACTTGGGAGATGAAAAAAGAGAATCAGAAACTCAAGGCCAATTCAGCTACAAGAGGTAGAGCCCAGCCTGGGCTACATAAAACCCTGTCTCAGAAAATAAAAATAAAAACAAAAACAAAACTGAAATTTTTGTAACAAGGAATCTATGTTAATTTTTTCTCCGAATAACACCAAAATGCAACATTCAAAGACTCCTGTTTTAAAACTCTTTTCATTTAAAAGTTATTTCATAGGAATGTAATAGAATGGTCTATCTATACATGGCCCAGGGTTCATACACAGCATTACAAATTTAATGTTAAAAATTATTTTTTTTTAAAGAGACATTAACTTAAAAGAGAAGTGTCTCTGATCTGTTCTGCCCAAATATAACCATGACTGGAAAAGAAAACCAAATGTCTAAATGAAACAGACCCAAAGTATTATATTGCCTTTTATTTCTATACATGAAAAGTAACAGGACTACCTACCTTCAATGGAACTAACAACTTTTATGGGCCATCTAAGACATACTGAAGATACAACTTATCATTTCTCTAAAGAGCAAAAGCTATCACCTGCAACAAGCATTGTCAATTGGAAGGTGGTTCTGAACTTCTCCCAAAGGGCCCACTGTGGCTTTATACACACCACACCACACCCCTACACTCCCCATGAGCATTTGATCCAACAACTATAAGACAGATTTTGAACAAAAGAGGCCCCTGCCTCCAACCATGCTCTTGGCTAATGTATTAAAACATGTATTACTTCAACTTTTTTTTTTTTAAAGAAAGTATGTGCTTGCTGCCAGTACTGTAATTCCAGCTAAAAGAAGCTGAAGGGGTACAGTATTGCAAGTTCAAAGCAAACTGGGTGTGGTGGCATACATCTTTAATCCCAGCATCTGGAAGCAGAGGCAGGCAGACAGATCTCTGTTTGAGCCCAGACTGGCCTACAAAGTGAGTTCCACAAAATGAGTTCCAGAACAGCCAGGGCTACAGAAACACCCTGTCTCAAAAACAAAACACAACGTCAAAGCTAGCCTAGGCCACAACAGTAAATTCAAGGTAGCCTATACAATGTAATCTCAAAAAGCAAAAAAAAAAAAAAAAAAAAAAAAAAAAGGCCCTACTCCTTGAACCCCAGCACAGGAAGTGGCTTTCCCGTGAGTCTGAGGCCAGCCTACTAACAATATCCAGGACAGCCAGGGCTATGGGGTTCCCCCAGCACTGGAAGGAAAAAAACAAAACCTTGCGTATTTGTCCACTTTTTGGGCAAGTGCCCTATCACCAAACTGTACCTTCAGCCCCAACAAATGGGAATTTTGAAGAACAAAGGATATAATTTTAAAGACCAAGACAACAATTTCACACACACAGTAACAACATAAACATTTTCCTGATCTCTTACTTTGCCCAGGCTATTTTAAAATAATGAAATTAATCTGATGTCCTAAGAGATCATTTTATATATGAGTAACAAGTATCATTAACCAACGTTATATAGCAGGTAATTAGATAGTATAATCAAATTCCTAGTGCTCTTTCCATTCTGACATGTTTTTCAGTGAATGTGCCTTTTGCAGGACAAGCACACTAACCAAAAGGTAAGGTTCTTAAAAGGAGTTCTGAGAAACTGACCCTGTTATGTTCCATACCAAGAGTTCAACCTATCAGCCTAGGCTGTCTGTGAACATAGAATGTGGACTTGTTCACACCCATGTACAGTGTGTTATACCTGCAATTATACTGTGTGTGCACTGCCATGGAACTCAAGAGACAAAGGATGCCCTTGACCCATGTGAGGTTAAATATGGAACACTGTCGGTATCTGTGCAAATAAAGCTGGGCTTATAAAACAGTTAAAAGTACGAGAGTTCTGGGTGTGAAATACAACTCAAAAATACTTGTAGGTTACACTTTTGGAGGCCATGTGAAATGCATGTCATAAGAATGTCACTGATTCATGCTACCTACCCTGCTTATATTACCTACGTATTTCCTTCAAAACAGAGCTAACGTAACTTTTTACACTTTCCACGTCACATTCATTTACTAACTCCCAACCAAAAGGCACATCTTCATTGAAGGACTTTAACTGCTATAAGACATGCAAAGGACAAAAATAAAAGGTCCATACAAAATGAAGTAGCTAAAACCAGTTGTCACTTTATCATGTCACTAAACCTTGTCACTTTATGTCAGAAATCTTACAACTGCTATTCCTACAGTTTGCTGAGGAAATGCACACACAATATCACCAAATATCACTGTATAATGTAGAATCAGCCTTCCCTGCACCCCCACCCCATATCTCTTACCTGTATATGGCTTTAGCATCCTTTTGTTAACCCAGCCCCTTGTTGGACTGTCATCAAAAAACTGCACATGAACACGGGCTGATTTCCCTTTCTTCCGGATGAATGTTCCATCAAAGGGATGATTATAAACCAGGCAAGGCCACCAGGGGTAACCTTCCATCTTAGCCCAAACCAAATCACCTGGTGAAAAGTCACAAGAACTGTTGCCAAAAAGAAATATTTGGTTAGTATTTGGCTACCTTACTTCAAAGGCAATTACCCAAAATAAACAGTTCTAAGAAAGCTCTCATTAAGAACCCTTTAGAAGCTTCTAGCAAATCAGAAGGTTCAAGGAACTTTTATAACATAAGCAAGCTAATACAATGCAATTTTAATTAAGACAAATAACTGGTATTCAATAAACAACTGTTTCTCAGTCTTAAAATGATGGCAAAATTCAGACAGTATCCTGTGAGTCACAAAACAGACTTAGAGCAACTCAACTATACTGCAATTCAGTGCATATCAGAAAGAAGTAATCCATAAGACCTGAAGTCATGATTATTAGCATGCTAATTATAATATCTAACTCACTAAGGTTAGCCTGGAATTGTTCCAGTTCCTATGTACTCTCAACATTCCAAAAAGCTGACTCTCCTTATCAAACTAGTTTTGTTAACAAGTGCCTAACACTTGAGAAAAGTGAATGAATACACCTGCCTATTGATTTTTTTTTTTTTTTTCTCAAAAGTTCATTCTTCACAAAACTTGATTTGGCTCTAAGGAAAGAAAGATACAGAAAAGAAAAAGAACTCAGAACCAGCAGACCGGAAAGGCCACTAACTTGGGTACTAAATAGCAACAGCAATATTCTCTAGGTCCACTCAGAAGTTTTTCTTAGCATCTTACAGTATTAAAGTAAGCGCAGCACTACAGCAAGAATACCTCAGACATTTATGGAGTATTCAGTTGACTGAAACTTAGACCTAATCATGAAGCAGTACTGCTTCAGAAAGCCAACCAGGCATGTTGGCACATGTCTGTGACCCCAGCACAAGAAGCAAGAGAAGGAAAATTATTTGTTTTGTTTTGAGTCAATTTCTCTGTGTAGCCCTGGCCGTCCTGGAACTCACTCTGTAGACCAGGCTGACATAGAACTCAGAGATGCACCTGCCTCTGCCTCCTGAGTAGTGCTGGTGTTATGCCAGGATCACGGGACCCTCAGAGACCACCTGGAGACGACTGGATGCAAGAGCAAGAGAGCTTTATTATTACGAGAGCAATCGAACTCGGGACCCAAGTCTCACTGACACAGCAGTAGAAAAGTGGGACCCTGAGCCCTGAGTGAGCAAGGTTTTTAAAGGGAAAGACTGCAAACAGGGGGATTCCATGACAACAAGCAGGGGAGCACATGCCTTGGCATTACAGGATTGGGTAAAAGTCAGAGGGGTGAGGTGACCTTCTCAGAGGCACATAGTCACAATTGCCTAAAGCATATAATCACAATTGTTATTCTTCTAAACTAAATCTGGAACACTGGGGAGAATTTTCCCAGCCGATTCCCAACCGACTGATTCTCATTGATTTTTACTAAGTATTTACTCTGTGATATTTCCTGGAGGCCGTTGCTAGGAGAGGTATCTTTGTTTTCTGCCAAGTGTACATTCTGTGATATTTCCTGGTACCTGAGTTCAGCTCCCAGTCAAGATGGCTCCTCATTTCAAAATGGAGTTATACTCAGACTAACTTAAACTCTTCACTGGTATTGCTGGGGTCAAAGGCATGCACCATCACCGGCCTACTGAACTCAGTGATTGTAAGGTGATCCTAGATTGTAGTGCACCTGTCTCAAAAATGTGTCTGTGTGCACACAAACACACATTCACTTGGGGACATAGCTCAATGGTACAGCACAAAGATGAAAAATGAGCATACTTTAGACTACAACAGTGAGAGAATATGAGCGTCAGCTTACACTGTCTCCTTATCTTTATAAGGACCTGTTCTCAACCTAGTCTACAGTGATCAGTACAAGTTTATGAAGATCACTCAGGCTCACCACATGGGTCATCATTAAGAAGCTGTACCTGAACAATTCAAACACCCAGATAACTGTTACCTAAAAACTGGGCCAGCAAGTTTTTCTTTAGTGACACATTCCTGAGAGGAAAAACCAGGGAATCAAAAAATAAAGATAGGAAAATTGGGGTCAGAAGGTTTTGTATAAACTATGCCTTACAGCAAGCTAGTTTATTAAGTCTAGCATCTAATACACAGCTTGGGGGTGGGGGATGGGACAGAGTTAGCAGGAAGCTAATGAAGCAATGTTGTACAAAGGAGATACAGGGTATGTCAGGTGCACCAGCTGCTTCAGGACTGAACACCACAGCCCTAGGCAACTGAGGTGCTGATAGGAGGTAGGGTATTCCCCAAAGCTCTGTCCAAAGGCCATTACCAGGGAAGTTTAATAAATTCCTTCTCCATACATCAGGGCCTCAGGCAAAGGCCTAGCCCTCAACACTAACAGACAGGGTCAAGGGTCAATGCTACAGGATCAAGTAGAGGTTGACCTTCCATCTTACCAGGCCTTCCCTTCACTTAAACATTTTTAGCCACTTAACCATAATGTCTATAACGTCTAAAATCCTTTTTTATTTTGTTTTGTTTTTAGAGGCAGGGTTCCCCTGTGTAGTTTTGGCTGCCTAGACCTCATTCAGTACACTTGGATAGCATAAACAAAAGATCTGCCTGTCTCTGATGCCCAGTGCTAGGATTAAAGGCATGCACTACCACGAAGTTTCTCTAAACCTCTAAGGGGGAAGAGGACACAAATTTTCTAAGCCATATTCCTTTATTTCTGCTGTTGCATGTCAATCAACTTCCCCATGTGGGGCACAATTTTCAGGGTTTAACTACTGTATTAGCCAAGAGAGAGTTTTCTGAAGTAGAGGAATGATGCCAATGGGGTCAAGCCTAGCTGTTATTCCTAACTGTGAATATTCCAAGAATGGCACTCTGAAACAGATATTTGAGGCATGCAAAACCCAGCTTTTTTTCTTAGTGTGTATGTGTATGTACATTAGTGCTATCCCATGCATATGGAGGCAGAGGACAAATCTTCTACAGTGTAGGTCCCAGGGTTCAAAATCAGGTTATCATGCTTGTCAGCAGACACTTTACCTGATGAGCCATCTTACCAGACTCAGATTTTTCTAACAATTCTAAAAGCTTAGCTTTACGTGTGGGCTCGAGTGTGCAAGCTATACATGCACAAGGGTATGGGGACCAGAAGTCAACCTCAAGTGTCATTCCTTGGTTACTGGATATTTTTTGGTCTGGAGACAGAATCTCTTCTCTTACTGGCCTAAAATTTGCCAAGTGGGCTAGGCTGGCTGGCTTGCTGGTTAGCCTCCAAGTGCCAGGGATCTGACTCCACAATGCCAAGGATCTCTGCCGACATGTCCAGGTTATTTTTTAGATGGCTTCTATGTACTGTTCTAAGATCCTCATGCATGCAAGGCAAGTGCTCTAACATCTAATCTCCCCAGTCCCTATATCCTGATGATACCTTCAATTCCAGCACTTAGGAGACAGAGGTAGATAAGGCCAGCCTGGGCCACATAGAGACTCAATCCAAAAAAGAAAAAAGAAAAAACTTCTGAGCCAGAGCAAGGGCTCAGCAGGTTAAAGTACCTGGGTAAAGGTGCCCCTCACAAGCTGAAACCCACACACACCCTGTATCATTTACACAGCCATACTCATCTCCCATACCCCCATGTAAATTGTTTTGTAAGAACAGTTAAGACATCCAGGTGTGGTGGCACATTTCTTTAATCCTGGTGCTTGGGAGCCAGAGGCAGGTGGTCTACAAAATTGAGTTCCAGGACATCAAGGCCTACACAGAAAAAGTCTCAAAAACAAAAACAGGAACAAAACAAAACACACATACACACAAGTCAAAACAGGGCCTGGACTCACTTGCTGCCAGGCTCTGATGGCCTGAGTTCTATCTCCAGGACATCAGTAAAGAACCAACTCCCAAGTTGTCCTCTGAATTCCCAACCTACTATGGCATGCATACACACAAACACACTCTAACAGATAATTTTTTAAAAGATAGAAATAATGGGGCTGAAGAAATGGCTTAGAAGTGAAGAGCACTGGCTGTTCTTCCACAGGACCCAGGTTAAACTCCCTGCACCCACATGGCAGCTCACAATTATCTGTAACTCCAGTTCCAGAGGCTCTGAGGTCTTCCTCTGGCCTAATCCAGGCACCAGGTACACATGGGTAGGCATACGTGTATGTAGACAAAACACACATCTCTGTATTTACCTGTTCCTGAACTGTGTCCTTTATCACCAAACAGAAGGAAAAGGGGAAATAAGTGAGCCAAAATTATCTTATCCCTTTCCCCAGTAACATGGCTCTCCTGATGCCAAAGCTGAAATGCTAGAATACTAGACTCCATTACTCTTTAAATTTTAAATAAGTTGCCAGGTGGTGGTAGTGCAACTTTAATCCTAAAACTCGGCAGAGGCAGAGGCAGAGGCAGGTAGATCTCTGTGAGTTCAAGTCCAGTCTAGTCTATAGAGCTAGTTCCAGGACAGCCAAGGCTACACAGGGAAACCTTGTCTCAAGAAAAAAATAAAATAGGGCTGGAGAGATGGCTCAGTGGTTAAGAGCATTGGCTACTCTTCCAAAGGACCCAGGTTCAAATCCCACATGGCAGTTCACAACTGTCTGAAACTCCAGTTCCAGGGGATCTGACACCCTCACATAGACATACATGGAAGCAAAACACAAATGTAAATAAAATGAAATAAAAAGAAAAAAGAAAAGAATCAATAAATAAGTAGAGATCTATAAATATAGATAAATGCATACCAGGCACAGTGACCTTGTAACACTTGTAACCTAATAGCCAGGGAAATCAGAGGTTCAAGATTGTCCTCCACTACACAGCAAGTTTTGAGGCCAGCTTAGGATATAAGAGACTATCTCAAAATCGTGCAGGGAGCTAGATCAGGCTCATGGATGAAGAGCACTGGCTCTTCTCCCGTGACCATCTGTAACCCTTCTCCCATGCTGCCTCCCAGGCAGCAGGGCACATCTGTGGACACAACACTGATAAACACAAACTTTACTTTTTTGATAGTCTCAATGTGTAGTACCGGCTAGCCTGGAACTCTGTAAATAGATAAACTAGTTTCCACCTCAG